AACATTCAGGGTAATTATTGATAAGTTTGAATTTGTTGCTGTCATTTTGTTATGTGTTTTTTCATGGTGTCCCTGGTTTCTTTGTTCCATATTATTTTCTTTGTTGAACTCGCAAAACAGGGTTTCCATTTGCAGAAAAATGAAACAAGATTCATAGCTCACACTATACATAATAAGTAATTCAAGATGTACCAAAGACTTAAATATAAAATCTAAAACTATAAAGTTCATCAAGAAAAGAGAGGGACAAATTAGAGGCCCTAATGTATGGCATTAATAGATTACCAAATATAAGTAAAAATACAGGAGCAGCAGTAGATAAACTAGATGACTGGGATCTTCTAAATACTAAATCTTATGCACATCAAAAGACCTTTCCAAAAGAGTAAAAAGAGAATCTACAGGTTGGAAAAAATATTTGGCAAAGACACATCTGACAAGAGAATTATCTCTAAAATTTATAGAAAATCCTAAAACCTCAACATCAAAAAGACAAAAAAATCTAATTAAAAAATGAACAGAAAACATGAACAGACACTTCACCATAAAAGATATTTAGGCAGCCAACAAACACATGAAGAAATGGTCACTATCATTAGCCATTAGAAAGATGCACATCAAAACAACAAGATAGCCTCTCACCTCAGCACTAATAGGAAAGTTCAACAAGATACAAAATAACAAATGCTAGTAAGGATGTGGATAGATTGAGACTCTCATACACTGCTGATGGGACTGTAAAATGATACAACCACTGTAGAAAACAGTTTGGTACTCCCTTAAAAAGATGGAAATAGAAACACTATTTGATCCAGTGATCTCATTACTAGGTATATATCCCAAAGAAGTGAGAGCCAGGACATAAATAGATATCTGCACACCCATGTTAATCACAGCACTATTCACAATAGCAAAGAGATGGAAACAATCTAAGTGCCCATCAACAGAATAATGGATAAACAAACTATGGTATATACACACAATGGAATACTATGCAACACTAAAAGAATAATGTAGAATCTGTGAAACTCCTCATAACTTGCGTGAAGTTGGAGGACATTATGCTGAGTGAAATAAGTTTATCACAGAAGGGCAAATATTGTATTAGTCTATTATTGTAAAAAGTCAAGGAAAGGTTTACATATGAAAGGAAATTTTCTTTGTTGGTTACCAGGACGAGAGGGAAGTAGAGGAAAAATTGCTAGATAGGTAAGAAAACATATTGGTTTGGGTGAAAGGAAAGGCAATATATCAAAAGCAAGTGACAACACAATAACACTAAAGAAAAAGAAGACACAAAGAGGTGCACAAGAGGTACAGACAACAAAGATAAACACTTTTATACACACAGCACTGCATTAGAAGTAATAACAAACATTAATCTACAGGTAGTTGCTTGAGTAGACAGCCTAATGATCAGGTATGTCTAGGCAAAAGGCAATATACCCCTGACCATATATAAGTTTGGGAGATGATATTTCTACATATGTATTTGTATGTACCATAAAACTGTCCATATATATAACAGAGACAAAAGAGGGTAAAGTTATGATAACTTCTTAGCCACAGCCAAAAAGCTGAAAGAGTGAGTACTGGGCCCTCGGGCTTGGGACCATTGTTGTGGGGGACTTCAAGCTCAACTGACATAACATACTACACAAGAACATTATTCTACATTCTACTTTAGTGAGTAGTGACTAGGGTCTTAAAAGCTTGCAGACAGCCACCTAAGATGCAACAATTGGTCTCTCTTCTTCTAGAGCAAAAAAGAATGAAGAAAACCAAAGATGCAAGATGCATGGAAAAAATTAGTCCAAGGGACTAGTGGGCCATGCGAACCTCAGCCTACATGACTCTGAGACCAGAAGAACTAGATGGTACCCAGCTACCTCTGTCATCCATTCAAAAAGGGATCAGTGTAGTAGATCCTGGATAGAGTGGGAGAATAACGTGGAATAAAACTCAAAATCATAAATAAATAAATAAACAAGTTTACTGGTCTGATAGAAACCCTCAAGACTATGGCCCCTAGTCACTCTTCATGTCTGGAATTGAACTCACTCCCATGGCTTCCAGCCAAACAAGAGACAGGTGTATAAGGTGAACATTTATACCAGGTAGGTACACTCCTTAGAACAGTCAACCATGGGAGAACAGAGGACAGTATTTCCAAAGGAAGAGGGCTCAACATGCTACAGGAGTCCTTGACTTCTACTGACAATGAACTGAACCAAACCAAAAACCAAACACACTGCTGTCAAGATGAACCCGACTCATAGCGACCCCTCATTGGGTTTCCAAGGCTGTGTCACTATGGAAGTAGATTGCCCAATCTTCCTTCTGAGGAGTGACTGGTAGGTTTGAACCATCAGCCTTCTAGTTAGCAGTCAAATACCTTAGGCACTATGCCAAGGTAAAATGTCCACATGAGCCAAAGTTTATTAAAGAGAAAGGAGAGGAGAGGAGCTCATGAGGGAGAGATGGAGAGGGGCTTTCACCTATGCTAGCTTTCAATCTCTTAGCGAAAGATTTCCTAGGGTTTATAAAAGGTTTTGTGCAGAAATAAGGCATCATCTTTATTCATAAAATAGGCAGGGGTTTCTGGGGAAAAGGTGGGGTTATGAAAATCAAATGTGCACGTAGGAAGTAGCCAAGACGGATTTCACTACAAAGGCTGTTGGAACAAAGATGGAATCCATCGTGAAAGCTGACTCTGGGAATTTGCTCACTTGTGATGTCTCTGGACCTTGGTTCAAGTCCCAGCAAGGGACTCTTGTTCTTGACTGTCCCTGGTGGAAGGTCACTTTGTCAGGCAAGTTCAATTTTACTGTGCATGCTGAGTACCTGGTGAGGTACTTGAAGGACAACTCAGGAGGTTTATTAGCATTTTACAATTGTTAAGTCCATGGGGCTTTTGAAATATAACTTTATCTTGCCTATGGACCTGGTTTGTTAATTGCAAGCAATTCTCTGTCACCAACAGCAAGAATACTGAGTCCAAGGCTGCTTGATTCAGCCAGCTGGATTTCCTACCTGTCTTACTCCCCCCTGAAAGATTTCATTCCCATAATTCTTTATGAGGAACATGGGTGGAGGTCTCTTCTTCGTAGCTTCTTCATACTTTGATAGGGTGATTGACCTGCCTACTGGAGTAGAAATCTCTCACTACCTGTTCTAATGGTTTATAATGGGCAGGCTTTACTTCAGGAATGGGTTGGAAACTTTGTATCATTAGCTTAACCTGAAATTGCTGTTACCTAGAGGACACAAATTTGACTAAAAGCTTAAACAGCCAAGGGCCAAATAGAAGTAAAAGCAAAGTAGCTACAGCAGGTCCTAAGAGAAGTAAAAACCAGATGAACAAAGGCAAGTATCTAATAAGATTCCAAATATTACTGCTCATCTGTGTATGAGTTGTCTTTGTGTCAAACATTCAGCCTGTTTAAGGATCCTTCCTTCCAACAACCAGTGTCCTTCTCATTTCACCTCTAGAATGGTTTGGATTTGGTTAGGCGTAAGGACTTTGGTGGGAGCTCTGGTGGCGTAGTACCTAAGGCATCTATCTGACTGCTAACCAGAAGCCTGGCGGTTCAAGCCCAACAGCTACTCCTCAGAAGGAAGGTTGGGCAATCTACTTCCGTAGTGATACCACCTGGGAAACCCAAGGAGGGGTCACTATGAGTCGGATCTGACTCCACAGCAGTGAGTTTGGTTTGGTTTTTGGAGGGATTTTGGTAGGTTGTCCTAGTGTGAGTTTTGAGGCTTATTTTACTAGTAGGGCAGTGGCTGCTACCACATGGAGGCATCCTGGTCACCCTTGAGCCACGTGGTCCAATTGTTTTGAAAAGTAGGCTCCCAGTCTGATGACTAGTTCTATACTTTTGGGTAAGAACCTCTAAAGTAACCTCTGTCTTCCATGTACAAACAGCTTAAAAGATTTTTTTTAGGTCTGGAAGCTCAAGAGTAGGACCCCTTTCCAAGAGTCAATTTTAACTTATGGAAGGCTTGCTGATACTCAGGACTTCTATCTAGAGGTGTCTTCTCTTCTCCTTTCAAGGCTTCATATAGTGGTTTTGCTGTAAACTCAAAATTAGGTATCCATATTATGCAAAACCCAATCATTTCCTAGGAAGTCACTAAGCTATTCCATGATAAGGACTGGAAGGTTAGTAATGATCTACTTCCAGTCGGGTGCTAATGCTCAACTCCCTGGAGTCAGCGTGAATCCCAAGTATTGCACCTGACCTGGGAGATCTGGATTTTCGTGGGGGAAACTTGGTGCCCCTGGTTTAAACACAGGCCCTGCATTCTTAGCTTTCCTACAGGTGGTGTTGCACACCTCCGGAGATGCTTGCTCTTGTATCTTCTTAGGAGGTGAGTTCTTAAACTTGGGTATCTCTTTCTCACTTAGTAAGAGAAGGAAGTTTGATCCTTCATCATCTTTCATATTTTGGCATAACCAGGAAAATTTTAACCTTCTCTTATTGACCTTTTATTTAACTTTTCTCTTTCTAAGACTTATTTTTTACCTTCTGTACTTTCTATATTCATCTAACTTCTTTTCTCATCAAAGCTTACAAAGGTACCCAACTTAGCAAGTAAATATTTTCCTAGCAATGGGATAGGGCATTCAGGGACATTTCAAAATAGGCTGTATTTCACAATTAAGGGGGAGAGTAAATTTTCTTACTTTATGCTTCCCATCAACTCCTGTAACTATGCAGTTGCAGTCAGAGAGTTGGCCATAAGGTTGGGTGAGGACAGACTAGGCAGCTCCTGTGTCTAATAAGATAGTGGTTGTTCTACTTGTCACACTGATGGTAACCCAGGACTGTGTGTCCAGGAGTTGGGAGGTCCTTTTGTTGTCTGATTGAACACCTTTGTCAGTGCCATCACAGGAGCCTGGAAAGTCCCAAATCCATGAATCAGGCATAGGTCTGGAGGATTCTTTTCACTCACATGGTTGCAGGGGCTGGTGAACACAGGTCAGATGACTTGCTTCTGTCTCAAGTCCAGGGATGAGGTGATGGTGAACCAAAATTCAGGATCCAGAGCAAGAGAGTGAATTTTCCCCGAACATTCACATATATACCCTCAAGGGAACTAAGAGTCATGACTTGAGTCACATCCTCCAGCAAGGTGGAGCTCAAGATTCATCCCACCCCAAACAAGCATAACCAAAAAACCAAACTCACTGCCATCAAGTCGATCCCCACTCATAGCAACCCCTCCTTGGGTTTCCAAGGCAGTATCACTACAGAAGTAGATTGTCCAACCTTCCTTCCAAGGAGTGGCTGGTGGGTTTGAACTGCCAGCCTTCTG